ATTCTTTCAGAAGTGGACGGCCTCTTCCTTCTTCCTAGTCTGTCTCAGTCTATAAGCTAGGCTGTTACCTGTGCACCAGGTGCATCTCTCTGGGTTTTAAACACCAGAGGCTCAGCCTCCAAAACTCATGTCTGTATGTCACCACAGTAGGACAAACTGACAGACAAGTTTGTCCTGCTGCTGGAGACCTCTCGTGTCATCCCCACCTGGCTGACTGTTCCTCTGTCTGGCTTCTTGGCTTTTAATCCCCTTTCTCCTGCTCTTCCGGCCTGCTACTCTGGCATCCCTGCGTTGTCTCTCCTCACCTGTACGCCTGGGGCTCAAGGCTTTTATCCCCTTCCCTGCTCTTCCGGCCTGCTACTCTGGCGTCCCTGCGTTGTCTCTCCTTATAGGCTTATAGACTACCACATTTGTTTCCAATTAAAAAATGAGAAGAATTCCTTACATGGCTACGGTGACAGTAAACTCATCAGCGCTGTCCTGGTGCTCCAACTTCTGTGGAGAGTCATGAGAAGAAACCACATGAAGGCTCAGGAACAGGCATCTTTATGAACCAGATGTGATGTCTATAGGCTGCGCTTACAAAGGCTTCTTTTAGGCCACTATGTGCAAAAGGCAAGAGCCTGAAACGCCTTTTGCTCCATTTATGGTGTGGTTGTACTGCTCACATATGCCCAGTGCTGTATCTGGCTCAATACTACTGCAAGAGGTCCTTAGTAGGAATGGCTGATTGGTGGTGGCAGAAGGTCACTTAGACTGACTTCGTTTAGGATAGCAAATAATAGGGACTAAAAGGTTTGTCTTGAGAAAATAAATGTAAAATCACAGAAACAAGTTCCATTTCATGTAGGTCTATAATTGCAACCAGTTCATTCTTGGAATGAACATTCAATCAAAGCTGTCTGGGCCTCTGGTCCTTTTGATGAAGCGACAGGCCAGCACAATGCAATATCCTCCACCTCTTGTGTGACTCGCACAGTTCTATTACAAAAATGGTGATTTTTACAAAACATTTGAGGATGCTGTCAATTTTCCTCAGGTCTCTCTTCACCTTTGAGATGTACAGTGTCCTGTTCTGAGGCACTTCTGCCATCATGCTGATGACGGTAAGGTCCCCACAGTCAAAGGCTCTGCATGGTACTTGAGCTCTCCAAAATCACTCTCATCACCTTAATGACTTCACTTTGCAATCAAGTGTAACTAGATCATCAGAAAGATGACCCACCTGTTGAAACTTTATGCAGCAACAGATGCTAGGGTCAAACAGGGAGGATGCTGAATGATCAGTTCATCCAAGAAGATTTTCATTTTACAATGACTTTCGGTTCCATAATAAATCTCCCGACTACAGAGAAATGAATAATAAATATGCAAAACCCAGAAATGTATCATTTGAGGCACATGATAATCACATGGTGTGAGTGGGTGGAGGCCCTGTCTTTATCGTCACCAAAGAAGGTGACATAAATCCACTGACATCGAAACTGTGAAAGCACAGAATGAAGGAGCCAGTCCCTGTCTCCAAGGAGCTCCCCGTCTAATGGAAGACAGACAAATAAGCAAAGAGGTGACAGTGCCGTGGATGATGACAATCAGTCTGTCCAGGGCACAGAGGAGCATCTTACTCATTGATCTGTCCATCAGATCTGAACATCAATTCCACATCTGGCACTGTGGTAGGCTCTGGAAATACAGCTGTGATCAATACAGATGTGGTCACTACTCTCCAAGTTTACCACCTGGTGGGACAGAGTACTGACAGACAAGGAGATAGACAGATACCTAATGCAACTGGCAGTGAGTGTCCAGAGAGAAACGAACATGGGGTAGTGATGGGGAAGGCACTGGGGGCCTACTCAGACACTGTGGGTTAGCGCCGTTAGGGAGTCAGCTGGTCCGGCTGCAAGTAGAGGGAAGAGAGTGTTCTAGCGAGAGGAAACACTGCGCGTGCAGAGTCCACGGGAGAGGACCTGGTATCGGACCAGCTGGCGGAGGCCAGGGGCTGGAGCCTGTGGGTCAGATGGTGGATGGCACAGCAGGACACTGAGGCTTCCAAGGCCTCTGCTCAGAGTTGGGCTAAGATGAAGAGTGGGGGAAGCCGTGGAAGGAAAGCAACAGTCTAGTTTATGTCTCCCTGTGAGGAGGGGTGACACGCTGGGGCTCGGGGGGCGGGAGGGCAGGAGAACAGCTAGATGGCTACTGGAATTCAAGTGAAGGGCAGTGCAGACAGGCAGACAGACAGAAGGGAATACATTTGAGAGAGATTCAGGAAACAGAGAGAGGGCTGAGGTGAGGGGGCTGTCGAGGCCCACCTCTAGATCCAGGTGGTCATGTGGGCCCTATGTGGGAACAGCAGGATGATCAGGGAAGCCCTGAGGTGAGGCGGCTATCAAGGCTGACCCCCAGACCCAGGGTACCCCCCAGATGCAAGGGAAGCACAGTGGGCCCTGTATGAGAACGGTGGGGTGGTTGGGGAAGCTTTGAGATTAGGGGCTATCAAGGCCAACTCCCAGATCCAGGGTGGCAGAGTGGGCCCTATCTGAGAACAGCAGGGTGGTTGGGGAATCGTTAGTGTGAATCAGAGGCGGGCTCTGAAGGTCAAAGGAAGGAGGGGGAGCATTCTAGGTCAAGGGGACAATGAATACAAGAGTATGAGGGTGAGGAAACGGGGGACCTGCTCGGGCAAGGGTGGGCAGGTTAGCACGAGAGGACAGCTGGGGTGAGGAGGCACAGATGAAGAGGGGGCTGAGGCTGGCAGACTCCAGGCCTATTCAAGGCACTCAGGGACACACTGCCAGTCCTCGAACCAGGGCTGGCTCAAGGCTGCATCTTGTGTGGGCCTCATGGCATTTCAAACACTTTGTGATTAGCGTCAGATTTAAACGGAGGTGTGTTCACCGTGGTCCAGGCTTTGAACTTTTCTTAAACCCAGCAGTCCAGCAGCCGGGGGTGTGTGCTCTCGTCTGATAACAAGAGGCTTCAGTGAGTGCTCCCAAGCTGGTGCTCCTGTCCTGGCCGCTTCCACCCCACCAGGCCGCTGGACAGCTCTCCTTTGGTGTAGCCTGCCAGCCCTGTCTCCACTTCCTGTTGGCGGGTTAGCATCTCCCCTGCAAGCCTGGCACTAAAGTGCCAGTGCTTGGGGAAGGGGTAGGCAGATTTGCATGTTGCAGAATCGATCTGAGCCAAGCAGTTAACTAGAAACTTAACAGCTCCTGCTATGATGCTGGCTATGGGGGAGAGGCATAAGCCCTGGTGTTATTAATCTTTCTTCATGTCCCAGAAAAAAGATGTTATATATCACTGTGTATGCCAGTGAGCAGCTCTGCTTCAGTGTGATGGAATCTGCCTACAGTCTGATTCTTCACGATGCCAGCCTTGCCGTATCATCCACTATGTGTGAGGGGTGATGGAACCATGTGATGGAGCGGCAGGGTACACATAGTACTGATATGAAGAGCCACCCGAGTTGCTGGCTAACAGGGTAGAGCCCAGGGTCGCATGTACAGACATTCAGGCTGACTCTTTGGGGACAGAGAGTGGCAGCCATCAAGGTCTAGCATCCATTCCAGATGCCCAGCCTAATCTGCGGAGAGGGAGTGGGACAGGGGGTAAAGGCAAGCAGCTGCTTCACAGATGAGCAATGGGATCTAGGGCATGACATCCACCCTTCACAAAACGGGGATACCGGACCGAGCATGCTGGAGAAATGGCACTGTACAAATGCAGGGTGTCCATGGCTGGGATGGCAGTAATGGCTGCCTGTGGTTCCCTTCATTCATCTGTGAGGCTGCTCATTGGGTCTGACACCACGCTAGCATCTAGGTTGTCTGAGACAAGGCTGTGATGACCATCTCCCTGATGACTTCTAGTCTACTTCTATGAGTGGAAGCTAAGCCTGGGTATCCATCAGATACTGTGTTGTGACAGAACTGAGCGAGACCAGAATTAAACAGCAGCTGAGTAATGGGGTGGCTGCCAGGCGCCTGTGGGCTGGGGGCTCAGACCTGGTGCCCAGAGGGAAGGGAGGCAGTAGACACATGCCTGTCCCTGGCACACTTCCTGTCTGGGGCTTCCCTGAATGCCATTCTGCACTGTGCTGCTGTGGCCTGAGCCTCACTTCCGGTTCCACTCGGTCCTCAGGCAGATGACCACCTGGGGCGACTTCATCAGCAGGCATTTACTGAGCAGCTGTTGTAAGGCACCGTGTTAGCACGCCTTTTCACTTAAATCTCTCACTATACACTAGAGACTTCCTTCTTGAGCTTTAAAAGGAGGCTAGACACGGGCTGTACTCTGCTCTCCCCGTCTACCACTAACTCCTTGGCTGGGGGATGGAGGCCCGCATCACACAGCTCTGAGCAGGGCTGGACCAGGCCTGTCTGCCAGCGTTTACTTTAAGATGCTGAACCGTATACAGATGTGCTCGGTCACCTTCTCCCTCAGTGGACTTGGTGGCTCTAAGAGAAAGGAAAGCAGCTGGCCCACGTGAGTGGGAACAAGCGCATCTCTGGAGTGGACGACGGGAGTGAGTAACGGGAGGATGCCAGGGATGCTGCCAGTTCAGCTGGAGCTTCAATTGGGTCCTCAGAAAAAGACATAGTAAATGAGAGAGACTTACTCGTTCTTGTCCAGCTGTATCCCAGATTAGGAATTTATGTAGCTCATTTTGGTACTGGACAGTCTTGGTCATAAAAGATGCCCTATAAAGAGAGACCTAAATGGTCAGAACACAAGTATTTCAAGCGCACGGCCAGCCCTGGCTGGAAACATCCCTCAGATGTGAGCCCCGCAGCACAGCCTAACCGCACCCCCTCTGAAGTGGCGGTGGCAGGCTCACATGCCGGCTGCACAGGCCAGGTCAATGAAGCGGCAGGCACAAGTGCTCAACACAAAGGAGGGAGAATCCTTTGGCTTCCAACTGTCTATGCTCTGTACCCAAAAGACCAAGAGGCATTTCGGTAATCCAGGCATGAGCCTCCCTCCCTTACAAAAACAACAAGAACCCCACTGCTGTCGAGTCAATTCCAACTCACAGAGACCCTACAGGACAGAGAACTGCCCCAAAGGGTTTCCAAGCTGTCAGTCTTTACAGAAACAGACTGCCACATCTTCCCACTGCAGAGTGGCTGGTGGGTTTGAACCACTGACTTTTTAGTAAGCAGTTCAGCACTTAAGCACTGTGCCACCAGGGCTCCTGTTCTGTAAAATACAGACACTGTTATTTCAATGGCTGGTATTGTAGGGAACGTTTCTAAACGAGCTGTGTGTCCAGGAAGTGTGTACAGTGGTGAGACTTAGCTGGCTGTCCGGGCTTGTCCTCTTCCCAGCTCCCCAACCACATGGCCACATAAACAGCTCAGTTGGGCTCATGTCTGATTGCAGTCCCGAAGATGAAGACATTAAACAAGGAGGTGGGAGATGGTGGAGAAGCAGCTGGTTCACTGTGGCGCCCACCTCTGGTCTTCACGAACAGAAGGCCTCTCAGTGGGAACCCCACAGCAGAGCCCAAGCCCCAGGGGGGAAGGAATGATGGTGGACAGGCCACACCGTTCACATGGACAGAAGTGCTCGGCCCTGAGTGCTTGGAAAGCAGGGTACCTATGATTTTAGGGGTCCCCTGCTTTTTGGAGATGCTCCAGCAAGACCCTGAATCCCACATGTCCTCTGAGGAGTTATGGTGGCCCAGAGTGCATGCCTGGGCACCCCAAGTTCCTGAGGCAGGTATCCATGTCCTGCCTAGGGGCTGGCCCTGCCATAGTAGTACCTTCTACTCCTTACCTCACAGTCCCCTCAATGCATTCCAGGTCTGGCTCGCTGAACCCTGAGGTAAGCACACCCCCTTCTACTGCACAATGAGCCTTCTGGGGCCAGTGCCAAGCTGGACTCTCGGAATCGTGGCCCCATCACCCTCAGCAGGACACGGGACTCAATGGCTGGCTATTTTCAGACATGCTGAGCACCTGAAATATTTTTGCTGAAATCCAAGTAAGAGGCACCTAAGCTTCAAGCAAGTGCACGCGACCACTGACAGAATGACTCTGAAGGATCAGTACCAGACTCTCAAGTTTTGAAAACTTAAAACTCTGAGACAGTGAACTCGTGGCAGGACTTAGAGAAACTGACGCCTTAGCAGGTGCTCTGAGATGGTGACTGTGATGAGGGTGGGAGGGGGCATGTGCAGGCAGGATGATGTGGACTGGATAGGGCATACCTACTGGGTATTGGTTTACTGGAACCCTTGGTGCCCTCCAAAGAGTGCTGTGTGCACAGAAGGCACTCTGTAAACGGTTACCGCGTCAAGAACTCCCCATGATGAGGAGACCAGGGTGGGCAATGTGGATTCTCACTTAGGAAAGACCTAAGCTTTCAAAAACCATTGTTTATTGTGAGGATTAAATGGCAAGATGTATGTGAAAGGACTCTGTCAACTGTAAAGCACTACATCTATATAAGGTATTATTATTGTTTAAAGGCAGCTGCAGGTAATGTTTCAGTTTTGACTTTGTAATTAGTCCTCAAAGCTTGCAACTTGACTCTCTGTCAATTATGGCTGTGGGGTTACAATGAAGAGTGACGACGAGTATTTGACAGAATCGTAGTAACCTGGCCAGTACATCCAACACATCCACTCTGGCTGGTCATAGGACAAGAGTGGGAATCTGCTTCAAGTAGACAAAAAAAGAAAAGAAAAAAGAGGAGGATGGTCTATGCAGTAACCCAAGGAAATGTTTTGTTAGAGGATCAGAACTTACTCCAGCTGAAGTGACCTGCCAACCAGACCCCTCTAATGAAAGCACAACTCATTACTCCGACAGGAGGAACAAAAACCAGCTGCCGCAATGGGATGGACGTTGCTGCAAGGACTGCCCGCAGCACCCCATCTCTGATCCTGCATGGTCCCTCCACTCCCGCACCTCGTCACTCTCACCATCCCTCCTCTCCACCCACACGGAGGGCTTCCTGTCTTCCTGTCTTCCTGAGTGCCGGTTCTCCCTGGTCTGCTGCTGCTCCTCCTCCAGGTCTCAGCTCCGACGTCTAGATCACAGAAGCCGTGCTATCTACCCAAGCCAGGCAGCCAACGTCACTCCAACACATGACCCTGCTTTGTTGTCAGAACTCTCCCCACAGTTCCTGACCAGCTGATTTATGGCTCCTGGTTGAATGTCTAACTCAACCATGAGACGTGTGAGCTTCCATGAGGGCAGGGACCTTGAAGTACCCCTTCTCTGAAATGTGATGACTTCCTCATCTCCCACTTCCTTGCTATCCTGTAACTCTTAGAAACATCCACCATATTGAGCCCAAGCTACTTCACTATTATTCCCACTGTTCTCAGGTGTCTTGGATAAGCACTTCCTGAAGAGAGAACAACTATGGAAGTGCAGGTCGGGAGTGCAGGTGAGAGGAGACCCTGCCTCCTGACCTGTAGACAGGTGCGTGGGCTCTGCAACCAGTCCAGGAAATGTTCTTCCTGCCTATCCTTCTCAGCTACCAGTTACAAGCACCACGCTCGTGAGCAAGCCCCAGGAAAATTCCAGACGTTACACTGAAGAGTCACTGTGAACATCCGTCACTCCGAATTCTGCTAAGAAAGGCGTGTGTGGCACTGTCCTCCGTGTAGGTCTCTGTTTGCTGCTCACTGACACGTTGACTCTGGCCCCGTCTCACGGGCTGTGGTGAGAAGATCACAGCTCCGCCCTTCCCTCTTCCCCCGGGGCCTTGTGATGTCTCTTTCTAGGAGAAGGCTTCTCTGGTGATTTCTGAGAGACTTTGAAATCTTGGCCCGTGACACCTGTTAGAACCCCATTCTTTTCTCAGCCTTTGAGTTCTGGTTCTTCTATGCAGAAAATAGCTGGCCTTGGGGGCTGACTGGGCAGGGGTGTTGCCCATCATTGTTCCCTGATGACAACTGGCCCCGACTGAGATCTGGCTAGTCCCACTGCAGAAGGCCTCCCTCACGACCCACAGCTTCAGGGTCTAATCCACTGGGGACAGCACATTTCCACATCAGACTGACTTCAGTTTCACTTAACAAGCCAGACACTCATCCATTTCAAACTTCACTTGGTGAAGATAGGACTCATTTTCATCACCTACCTTCCCCTGTCCCTCATTCTAAGTCCTCAATCACAGGACATTATGTCTGCCTCCCACACAACGGAGACTGACCCGTCATCGCGCGCCGTCCTCCCCCCACACAACGGAGACCGACCTGTCATTACGCGCTGGCCTTCGTGGCTTACACTCTATTCTGCAGCCGAGCTGTCTGGTTCTTCATGTTGTATTTAATCTATGCTTGAACCTCACCCCTAAAATCAATTCATAAATTGGACCCTATTCTTTGAGCAGGACTACCACAATTTTCCCCTTCCACTGTCAGCTGGACTCTGGGATCACTCCTTTAATGTTCAAGTTAAATGAGGTGGGGGGTCTGATAACTTCAGTATCTTGCTTTCTGAAAAACAGGCAGTGGCTTCCTGCCATCCAAATGATGCATTTTTATTTCCCAGCCTGCCGTTTACTTGTCTGACAACCTTCTTTTTCACCAGCGAACCATCTCTCTTCACTCTGCCGAGGCAGATCTCATTACCTCTTTAATGTGACATCAGGCATTAGTTCCTGAAGCCGCAAAGTGTTCACATACTTCACCACTCTTCACGCCATTTGCAAGACAGTACCTTCCATGCACCCCAAACAGACGTGCTCTTTGGGCAGAGGGTGTCAACGCAAGGCGTTGTTAAGGCTCTGTCTTCGCTTTAACTGCACTTGCTGGTTCTGCTGGAGTATAGGTGCGCCCTGACAGCTCGTCCCAGTGCCTCCCTTGACTGTAATCTGTGTCTTTGGAGGGCACATGTGATGCTGTTATTCTCATAATGGCATCATGCCACGTGTCTAGAGCTCGTAGGGCGGGCCCTACGAGGGCCCGAACAACTTGGTGCATTTTAAAATTAGCAAAGGAGTAGACCTCTTGAAGAACTCAGTGTCATCAAGTTGATTTTGACTCTTAGCAACCCTGCAGGACAGGGGAGAACTGTAATCTTTATGGGAAGGAACTTTGGTGGTACAGTGGTTAAAGCACTGGGATGCTAACAAACCCAGGAGCTGTTCCATGGGAGAAAAATGAGGCAACTGCTTCCGAAAAGATTTACAATCTTAAAAACCCCTATGGGGCAGTCCTACTCGGTCCTAACAGATCGCTATGAGTTGGAATTGACTCAGTGGCACTGGGTGTGGTGTCAGTGTTAATCTTTATGGGAGCAACTCCCAAGTCTTTTTCCTGTGGAGCTGCTGGGAAGGTTGGAACTGCCAAGCTTTCGGTTAGCAGCCGAGTGCTTGACCTGTGTGCCACCAGGGCTCCTTTCATTGTCATTATTGTTATTATTATCCAAGAAGGTCTTTGTTTATTTAGCAAACACTCCCTGAGTGCCTCTGGGTGCCAGCACAGTGCGCAAGATGAGGCCCGCCCTACGAGCTCTAGACACCGAGATGGCAAAACAAAACCCCAAACCCATCTGCTTTCAAGGAGTCCGTTTCTACTCATAGAGACCCTAGAGAGTAGAACTGCCCCATAGGGCTTCCGAGGCTAGAATCTTTTCAGAAGCAGACTGCCACATCTTTCTCGTCTGGAGCGGCTGGTGGGTCTGACTGCTAACTTTGTGGTCAGCAGCTGACCTCTTACCCACTGCGCCACCAGGGCTTC